TTGTTTTTTTTTGTTTCTTGAGTTTGCAATTTTTCGAATCAAAATTTCTTGGGCTTTTAATTTTTCGATTTTTTAATTTTTCAATTTTTCGATTTTTAATTTTTTTTCATTTCTTCAATTTTTCGATTTGCAATTTTTCCGTCTTTGATTTATTTGTTTCTTCAGTTTTGAAGTTTTGCAATTTTTCGATTAAAATTTCTGGAATTTTCCAATTTTTTAATTTTGCTTTTTTCGCCGTTTTTCGCATTTATTTTACTTTCTTTTATCCTTTTTTTTGTCGCTCGATTTTTAATCATTCTGGGTACTTTTTTTGTCTTTTTTTCGTCGCATTTTTTGCCATTGTTTTTTTAGATGTTTTTCATTGCGATTTCTATCCTTTTTTAACCCCCTTTTCGCTTCTTTTTTGTTGTCTTTTCTAAACCTATTTCTTTGTATTTTTCTGGTTTTCGTATTTTAATTCGCGCTTGGTGAACGTTTTTAGCGGTTTTTTTGTATATTTTTTTGTTGCCCCTCTTTTTTAGATTCATTGTCGTCCTTTTTTTTCGCCGTTTTTGACGTCTATTTTACTTTTTCTTCTTATCGCCCTTTTTTTAATCATTTTGTATCATTTTTTTCACCGTTCTTTTGTCTTTTTCCTGTTACAATTTTTGCTATCGTTTTTATGATGTCTTTTCTTGCGTTTTCTAACCCTTTCTAACCCCTTTTTCGCCTCTTTTTTGTGGTCTTTTTAACCTATTTCTTTATTTTCATTAGCCTTTTTACTTCCCGAGCGTAAGCAAAGGAAGTATTGTAATCGAGTCCGTCGGCCGACTCTCTACTTTTACGTTTTCTCGATCTTTCATGACCCCTAGAAGACGAAGAAATAGGTCTCCCATTTCCGTCTGTCTGTCCGTCTGTCCGTCTGTCCGTCTGTCCGTCCGTCTGTCCGTCTGTCCGTCTGTCCGTCCGTCTGTCCGCCTGTCCGTCTGTCCGTCCGTCTGTCCGTCTGTCCGTCCGTCTGTCCGTCTGTTGTCCCGGATTTTTATTAGACAGATAATCTCCGAAAGTACTCGACCGATTGTTGTGAAATTTTGTACTTATATTAAGAATATCATGTAGATGGTAAAACGCTAACCAAAATTTGTCTAATTATCCCCACCACTAATGCGATGACGTCACTTCAAAATTGTACATAGTAAATGGGTTTTCAATTGTATAAAATAACATAGTCCTACACATGTAGTTTACAACTCCGAATCGACTTTTCACCCGAAACGTCCAGATTTTTGGAAAAAAAATCAAAATTATAAAACAACATTTTGAAATTTAATTTTTAATCTGCTAACCAGAATGCTTTGAAATGTTGCAGATGTTTTAAGGCTATAAAGAGCATCATAAATCTTTAGTCAAAAAATATTTGCTTACCCCCTCCAAAAACTTGATGACGTCAGCTCAAAAGTTTGTGGAATAAATCATATCTAAAATGTACAAAATATGATGAGTCTGTACTTGTGATCTATCACTCCATTCATATTTTTTGGATTTGCATATACAGGGTGACTCAAAAAAATTAATGAATGCGTAAATATATTTTATTGATTTAATCAGGAACTACAAAACCGAATGCTCTGAAATCTTGCAGATGTTTTAAGGTCATAAAGAGCATAATAAATGTTTAGTCAAAATATATTTGCTTATCCCCTCCAAAAACTTGATGACGTCAGCTCGAAAGTTTGCCGAATAAATCTTATCTAAACTGTACAAAATATGATGAGTCTGTACTTGTAATTTATCACTCCATTCATATTTTTTGGATTTGCATATACAGGGTGATTCAAAAAAATTAATGAATGCGTAAATTTATTTTTTCGATTTAATCATGAACTGCAAAACCGAATGCTTTGAAATCTTGCAGATGTTTTAAGGTTATAAAGAGCATATTAAATGTTTAGTCAAAATACATTTGCTTATCCCCTCCAAAAAATTGATGACGTCAGCTCGAAAGTTTGCCGAATAAATCATATCTAAAATGTACAAAATATGATGAGTCTGTACTTGTGATCTATCACTCCATTCATATTTTTTGGATTTGCATATACAGGGTGACTCAAAAAAATTAATGAATGCGTAAATTTATTTTACTGATTTACTCAGAAACAACAAAACCGAATTCTTTGAAATCCACTGCGAAAAAAAAAAACATAATAGGCATGCAGTCGTCACGTTTCCGACAGCGAGGGAAGTACTGTCGAAACTCTTTAGACCAATTTTCTTTCTTGTTTTAACTTCTTGTTTTTGCATTTTAGGTCGCTCCTTGTGGACCTTTTTTCGTCTACTTTTCTCGTTCTTTTTATCGTCCCTTTTTTAATCAATTTATGTTCTCTCCTTTTTGTCGCCTTTTTTGCCCCAGTTTTTGTGATGTATTTTGTTGTATTTTCCATCCTGTTTAAAGCCCTTTTTCATCTCTTTTTTGTCGTCCTTTTTACCCTGTTTATTTGTTTTTTTTTGTTTTAGACTCCTTGTCTTAGCATTTTAAGTCGCTCTTTTTGGACCTTTTTTGGTGTACTTTTTGTCTTTTTTTGTATCATTTTGTGTCCTCTTTTTTTAGATTTTTTGTTGTGCTTTTTTCTTTCGCCGTTTTTTTGAATTTATTTCATTTCCTTTTTATCCCTTTTTTGTCGCTCCTTTTTTAATCACTCTGTGTACTTTTTGTCACTTCTTTTGTCATTTTTCTTGTCGCATTTTTTGTCATTGTTTTTTAGATATTTTTAATTGCGTTTTCTACCCTTTTTTAACCCCCTTTTTTAGCGTTTTCTTTGTCTTTTTTTGTATATTTTTGTTTTGTCCTTTTTTCAAGGTTTTTTGTTTTCGCCGTTTGTGCGTCTATTTTACTTTTTATTTTTATCGCTCCTTTTTTCATCAGTTTGTGTCCTTTTTTTGACATTTTTCCTCTTTTTCCTGTCGCATTTTTGCCATCGTTTTTGTGATGTCTTTTGTTGCTTTTTTTATTCCTTTTTGGTTGTCTTCTTTAACCTTTTTCTTTGTATTTTTAGCCTTTTTTCGCTTGTTTTAGACTCATTGTGGACCTATTTTGGTGTTCTTTATGTGCCTTTTTTTTGTCCCTCTTTTTTCAGGTTTATTGTCGTTCTTTTTTTCTCCGATTTTTGCGTCTATTTTATTCTTTTTTTATCGCCTTTTTTGTCGATTCTTTTTTAATCATTTTGTGTCCTTTTTTGTCACCATTTTTTTTTTTATATTTTTCCTGTAGTATTTTTTCCATCGGTTTGTGGATGCATTTTATTGTCTTTTTTATCTTTTTTAAGCCCCTTTTCACCTCGTTTTTGTTGTCTTTTTAACCTATTCCTTTGTATTGTTTTAGCCATTTTTTGCTTGTTTTAGATTCTCTGTTTTTGTATTTTAAGCCGTTCTTTGTGAACCTTTTTCAGCATTTTTTTTGTGTCTTTTTTTGTATAATTTTTTTGTAGACCTTCTTTTGCAGTTTTTCCGTCTATTTTACCACTTCTTGTTATCGCCTCTTTTTTTTGTTACCCTTTCTAAATGTTTTTGTGTCTTTTTTGTCTTTTCCTTATCGCTTTTTCGCATGGTGCTCTTGTTAACGTTTTTTACCCTTAAACCATTTTTTAATTTATTTCTTTGTATTTTTTGACCTTCTTTGGTTTGTTTTAGTCGCCTTGTTTTCGCATTTTAGGTCCCTATTGTGGACCTTTTTGGTGTTCTCTTTGTGACTGTTTACTTCCCGAGCGTAAGCTAAAGTAATCTAGAAATCAAGTCCATCGGGCGAGTTCCCAATTTCATGTTTTCTCGACGTTTCATGACCCCTAGATTATGAAAAAAATGGTCTCCCATTTCCGTCCGTCTGTCGTCTGTTTGTCGATTTTTATTAGGTATAGATAATCTCCGAAACTATTGGACCGATTGTTGTCAAATTTTGTATGTATATTGGGAATACGCACGTTTTTATTTAATAATGATATGAATTTCCACCTGACATTTTTTCTATATATAAACATAAACACTTCAAGTTAAGCATGTCATTGTAGCTGAGAGGACATTTTTTCCCGTTTGTTATCTGCTGCACATATATTTTATATTGACCGTAGGGGTGCGACTTCCTCTTGGAATTTTTATAGAGGTTATCACGAAACAAAAATTGCAAAATAAAATATCTCCAGAGGGTGATTTTGGTGTACTTCAGGGATTTATGTTGTGACAATCATTATTTTCTGTTCTTGTTGATGAGTGAATCGATAACCAATAAAATGCGTCTGAAAAATTCATGTTTGCATTAGCTTCGGGAAAATTATGTCTTAATAATTAATAATTCTCTAGCTAAAAGCGAATATGCTAGATAGTTTTGATTAAAATTAGTAATAAATTCTATGAAAGGATACATTACATTAATTGCACGAGAATAATTTAGAATGGACAAATCTGATTTCAATTTGAATTATGAAAGAAGCATTAGAATGTAGAGTGGAAATACTTGGGGAAGATCACATCACTGAAACGACTCAGTACGTTTGAAAATATTGTTAATTGTTTTCGTGATATTTAGCTCCGCGTTTTTTTTCCCTTCGAATTATTATGTGCTTTTGTCACTTATCTCTAACACTAGATTCGTACACGCTATAAAACGGTTAATAAATGCTCTCATTACCGTTAAATTCCCCCAAACAATATCCCGTCGACATCAAACGCAAATGCCCACTCTAGGTACGCACCGTTGAAAAAACACAAAACCCTCCTCCGGCCGCTTTCGACGCGAAATCGATCCAATTCCAGTTGTTTTTAATCAAATCCTGAATGATAAACTTCCGTAATATATTTGAAATACCCGATTTCGCCCCATCCCGTGTAATGAAGCTATATTCCGCCGACATTAATTTTAAAATTTCATCTTTGAAACGGTGGGGAATAAATAGAGCGAAAAGTTAAATAAAACAGACATAAATTAGAATACTGTAAACTCCATAAAAGTTGAATCATTCCGAGTAACTTACCTAAAATTTCGACGGTGTGCGTGATTTCCCTCGGTTCGAGTGTGCCGATCTGGCAAACGTAATCGCCCGCATCTTGCGGTCCGGCTTCTTTAATTTCCAAACTGTAGCCATTTACCAGGCTGATACGGGGATCGGGAGATACTTTCACGTTGCCGGCCGACAGAACGGCGATGCCTTTTTTCCAGGCTAGCACGTACGGACCTGAAAAACAACACACGCAAGTGAGAAATTTGCCGCATTAATCTAAGAAACTTTAATTTTAAAATCTCCGAACAACCAACGTTTTCTGTGCTACATTTATTTATTACTTATTAGCATTTGTTACTAAACTAAAACACAATATAACATCTCATCCATCCCCGCTAAGCACTCCATGACGTCACTTCAAATTTCGTTATTTAGCAAACGTCATTTCCAAGTAGTTTCGCGTTCAAATTTGATAGACCGCTCTCGCAATGTCAGTTTCGTCACGTTGCCGGCCGTTAGAGCCCCTTTTCCCGGCTAGCACGTACGGACCTGAAGAATAGAACAGACACAAATAAGAAATATTGCCGTGCCAATTTAACGGAGTTTAACTTTAAAGAGGGATGGAACACCCCGCTAACCTACTCGATCTAAAGTTGAAACGAGGGAATTCGCCCTAAATTGCTTTGCATCTACATTTTTTTATTCACAGACAGTTTCGGGACTCGCGCTCCAAGAGATGTTATAACTCTGGGAGAGATTTTTTCATTAGGCGCGATGTGAGTAATTCGAGCAGGCTATCGTTTATACGAATTTAAGAGAGCTGTTTGGATTGGGGGCGGTGGTTGAGTTTTGTGCACGGTGAACTGTTACGAAACTCCTAACCTAGTTATCTGTTTTAACGAGGACACGTAACTATTTTTAATTAACGGTCGAACGATCGGTTTTGCGGGTTTAAACATGGTGTTTCAATCGTGGGTTTGAGGAGAAAAAGACACGAAAATTAAAAGTATTTATGCCGCAAACTAGATTTATCTTTAATTTTAACATAGAAAATAGTGCGGTGTAAACATTTTTGGACGAAACGGAGATGACAAATTTTAATATGTTTAAAAACAGAAAAAAAAAAACAATTTCAAATTCTTACCATCCCATATTCGACGCCCGACGGACAGATTGATTGAAAAATAAAAAAAATGTTTGCTGAAATTTAATAACCTTTCGTGTTTCTCTTGCTTTATGTTAAAAAAATATACCCTTGTGTGTACTGCTGTTTGTGCTTTTTGTGGTGAAAATATCGGAATTTATTTTCTAATTGAACCACAAATTCAAACGAATTTAGTAGAAAAATATTTTTTTCAGGTATTTTAATTTAAAATCATTAATCATTAGCTACAACTAATAAAGGCAATTTAAAGTAATCTAGCTTTTAGTTTTGGCTTTAAAATGACAGATAAGTAGCAGAAATGGTCACAGGTATATTCAAAAATGCAAAAAATTGCGAAATTTAGGGTCGAAGTGGGTCATGAACACGTGCCGCTTCTCAGTTTTGGACTTGCTAAATGCTTAAGGATAAATACCACACGCATCTGTATAAATGGTTGCCTAAATACTTCATTTATTTTTATTTTCAAAAAAATAAAACTAATCCATTAAAATAAAACGTTTACGAAGTCCCATTGGGTTAACAAGACATAACAGTTAAAGAGAAGAAGAGAATTACTGTAATTTATACTTGAAAAACGTTAAAACAATGAAAACGACGACTTTAAATGACCGGTTAGAACTGACATTAATGACAATTGACAACTGTCGTAATGAAGCATAATTTTAGCGAAGCGGGATTTTTCAAATCCATGGCCAACTACACCCTTAGAATCATTGATAAAAACCCTGTAGATAATAGCAATCACAGTAAAAGGAAAAAAGAGTATGCCATGAGTTTCGACGTTCATGTCATGTATTAGAAACTCGATGAGTTCATAATTCCTTACTTTAAATTCTTAAATGTTCTTAGTATTAATATTATTATTAAGTAGAGTATTATACAATTTTGATTGTTTTGTGAAAATCTGAATAACAAGTGCAAAAAATCAAGCGGATTCATAAACCATAAGTACAGGATTATGTTATTTTATGAAATTCTACCATGCAAAAGTTTTAAATGACGTCACAAAATTGTTGGTTAGGATGCTCACATAAGTTTTGATTAGCTTTGACTATCTGCATGATATTCGTAAAATACCCATGAAATTTGACCAGAATCAGTCCAGTAGTTTCGGTGAAAATCTGTTTGTCCTTTTTGTCTCAATATGAAATTTATCGACATACCTAACACTCTCTCTTCGTTCGATTAAATAAGTGAAGTTTTTTTAAATCGTAGACTTTACCACTTGCTAAACTAAAATCCAATTTTCATCTCATTGTAAAAAAAATAAACCAATGAAATTAAAAACGGAGGTGGGAGGAGTTAGTTTTACCTTTTTGTCTGGATTTCAGGGTTTATCAATATAAATTCAACTTTTCGTCCAATAAAATGAGTGATCAATAAAAAAACCGGGTGGGTGGGCGGGGCCACTTTGAAAATTCTTTTAAATCGTCGACTTTACCACTTGCTAAAATAAAAACCAATTTTCATTTCGCAGCACATAAAATACGCTAATGAAATTTAAAAACGGAAGTAGGTGGGATTAGTTTTACTTTTTTTGTCTAGATTCTACTGTTTATTGGTATAGAAGTTTTTTTCGACCAATAAAATGAGTGATCAATAAGAAAACCGAGTGGGTGGGCGGGGCCACTTTGAAGATTCTGTTAAATCGTTGATTTTACCACTTGCTAAAATAAAAACCAATTTTCATTTCGCAGTACATAAAATAAGCCAATGTAATTCAAAAACTGAAGTAGGTGGGGTTAGTTTTAATTTTTTTGTCTAGATTCCACTGTTTATTGATATAAAAGCTTTTTTCGACCAATAAAATGAGTGATCAAAAAGAAAACCGGGTGGGTGGGCGGGGCTACTTTGAAGATTCTTTTAAATCGTTGATTTTACTACTTGCTAAAATAAAAACCAATTTTTATTTCGCAGTACATAAAATAAGCCAATGTAATTCAAAAACGGAAGTAGGTGGGGTTAGTTTTAATTTTTTTGTCTAGATTCCACTGTTTATTGATATAAAAGCTTTTTTCGACCAATAAAATGAGTGATAACTAAGAAAATCGGGTGGGTGGGCGGGGCCACTTTGAAGATTTTTTTAAATCGTCGATTTTACCACTTTGCTGTACATAAAATAAACCAATGACATTAAAAACAGAGGTGGGTGGAGTTAGTTTTACATTTTTGTCTCGATTTCACGATTTATCAATATAAATTCAACTTTTCGTCCAATAAAATCAGTGATCAATAAGAAAACCGGGTGGGTGGGCGGGGCTACTTTGAAGATTCTTTTAAATCGTTGATTTTACCACTTGCTAAAATAAAAACCAATTTTCATTTCGCAGTACATAAAATAAGCCAATGAAATTCAAAAACGGAAGTAGGTGGGGTTAGTTTTACTTTTTTTGTCTAGATTCCACTATTTATTGATATAAAAGCTTTTTTCGACCAATAAAATGAGTGATCAAAAAGAAAACTGGGTGGGTGGGCGGGGCTACTTTGAAGATTCTTTTAAATCGTTGATTTTACTACTTGCTAAAATAAAAACCAATTTTTATTTCGCAGTACATAAAATAAGCCAATGTAATTCAAAAACGGAAGTAGGTGGGGTTAGTTGTAATTTTTTTGTCTAGATTCCACTGTTTATTGATATAAAAGCTTTTTTCGACCAATAAAATGAGTGATAACTAAGAAAATCGGGTGGGTGGACGGGGCCACTTTGAAGATTCTTTTAAATCGTCGATTTTACCACTTGCTAAAATAAAAACCAATTTTCATTTCGCAGTACATAAAATAAGCCAATGAAATTGAAAAACGGAAGTAGGTGGGGTTAGTTTTACGTTTTTTGTCTAGATTCCACTGTTTATTGATATAAAAGTTTTTTTCGACCAATAAAATGAGTGATTAATAAGAAAACCGGGTGGGTGGGCGGGGCCAGTTTGAAGATTCTTTTAAATCTTCGATTTTACCACTTTCTAAAATTAAATGTAATTTTCATCTCACAGTAAACAGAATAAACCAATGAAATTCAAAACCAAAGGTGGGTGGGGTTAATTTTATCTTTTTTGTCTAGATTCTACTATTTATGGACATACCTAACACTCTTTTTCGTTCAATAGAATGAGTGATCAAAAAGAAAACGGGGTGGGTGGGCGGGGCTATTTTGGAGTTTTTTTAAACCGTAGATTTTACCACTTGCAAAAGAAAAATCCAATTTTCATCTTATTATAAATAACATAAACCAATGAAATCAAAAATGGAAGTGGGTGGAGTTAGTTTTACCTTTTTGTCTGGATAAAAGTCTTTTTTCAACCAATAAAATGAGTGATCAAAAAGAGAACCGGGTGGGTGGGCGGGGCCATTTTTTGAGAGCTCATAGAGATTTTTTTTGTAAATAATTTAAAACAATTTTGGGGGACCTTGGTGTTCTATTTTTGGAAAATTGTGTCTTGACCTGTTTCCGAGTTAATTTTGGGACCCTGTTTTTTTTTTAAATTTAAAACAGTCTTCAGGTTCTAGGGATTCCTTGAAAGAATTTGAAAGTGCCTTGGAGCCTCTAGTGGGTTTTCTTCTAATAATTTAATTAAATTTCTAAGAGGATACGTCATTTGCTAAAATCACTCTTATCTTAACAGATACTAGCCCCGCCCACCCACCCAGTTCTCATTCCAACGATTTTATAATATAATGTAATCTGATTGAGTGTTGTCGCCTCTATTTGTTTTGTTTTTTTTGAAGTTTTACTAGTGTGGAGTTTTTTTTAAGACCCTGTGTAAATTATACCTTCTTTTCCAAATATGTATATAAAATTACATTTTCACGATTCTATCTTTTTCTTTGAATATATTTTCCTGTTTTTTTTCCGATTCTTTAATTATTTTGTGTACAATTTTAGTTGTTTTACGAAAATTTGAATACCGAATGTAAAAAATCAGGCGGATTCATAAACCATAAGTACAGGAGTATGTTATTTTATGAAATTTAGATAGCATTTATCATGCACAATTTTTAGGTGGCGTCACAAAATTGTTGGTGAGGATGCTCACATAAGTTTTGGTTAGGTTTGACTATCTATTCGATATTA